ACATCCCCTAACCTAATAGCACTTTTTGACCACTATAATGAACAAAATTATATAAATAATGTCCTCATTTTAAGGATATAATATTACCTCAAATTTGAAGACAAAATAGCCTCTTCCCTTTGTTATTTTGTGGCCATTAATTTCGTACATTTTGCTCTTATTTGGTAGGCTTTCATAGAGAAGGCAAAGGAGTGACTCGTATTGATTCCGATTCATGGAGTCTCCAACAAGCAATAATCTCCTCCCTCTTATTTTCACCAAGAAATCGGTTCCATTGAATCTAAATACATAATGAATCATAATTCTTTAGGGACAAAAGTAGATCCAGGATGAAAAAGATTCAAGGTTATAGATCATAAGGACATCAAATGTATCTTAACTACTAGGGTAAATCCAAGAAATAGCAACATAAGCTTATACATGGTAGAATTTAAGGAACAGATTATTACCATTTGATTTATATAACAGGAAATTAGTCGATCTCTGATCATTTTATATATGATCATACTTAGTAAAATCAAAAGCATTACGCTAATTACTACTAATGAATGCAAACAATCGTTGAAGAATTGAAGTACCAAACCTTGGAAGCTCACACGAATCAGGCTTCCATCGCCATTTCATATATTCTTCGTCGGATCTTCCATTAGCTTGACAATCAAACGCTTCATCAACAAAAGGGCAAGATCCAGGTTTATAAATTGGGTACTCTTCATCTCTCACCCATTTTCCAGAATGCATATTACAACTTTTCCCCCAATCTACACTCTTTTTAACCGATTCCGCAATTGCTTCATCTTCTTCATGAGCCTGGGTTTTCTCTACATTCTCAGAATCAGCGATACCAGTTTCACTTTCAGAAACCGATTCATCATTAACCAATTCCAAATCATTTGGCTTGCTTTGAAGAGGTGGGTTTTCGTCTGTAGACTCGGAGTCGATAAACCCAGTTTCATTTTTTGAAATTGAGTCGTCATTAACGAATTCTAGATCATTTGAGTTGGTTTGAAGAAATGGGGTTTTCTCTATAGGCTCAGAGTCAACATACCCAATTCCGGTTTTGGATTTGGAGTGGTCAATTTCAGGATCTGGAAGTGGGTTGTATCGATCTATTGCTGCGTATAAAGACAAATGGGGATCGAGAGTTCGTTTGCTGAAGAGGAAAATGGTTACGAGGACTACTATGAGTAAGAAGACTATCGGTAGTGTCTTGTGTGGGGTTCTAGTTAAGGTTGCCATTTTTGGGCTTGGTGGGCATGATATCTTCTTTAAATTCTTGTTTCTTTTTGGAGATATCACGAAAAGAAGATTGAATACTTGAAGTTTGAAGTAGATCTAATTTCACATTTCCCACCTACTATTGATTTTACTATTTTAGGACTACTTTTAGTTTTAGTTGTTACAAAAATTTATAACACGTTCTTATTGTTATAATTATATATATTTTTTATTATAGTAGGATATTTTTGAAAACCTATTCAATTATAACATTATCTTTTATCAACCAAATCAAAAACAAATTTCTATAATTGGCTAAAAATATTCAAATTAAAATGAACGATAAAAAAAGATAAAAACATAATGTCTTAATAATTTTTTTTAAATATAATAAATAACGGAAATATTTTCGGTTGAACCAACTAAATCGGCCAAAACTAATTTAGTTACATTTGTCCGATCAGTTTAGTTAATATATAAAACACACAACCAATTATATTTAAATGTCAATGTGAGACAAGCTCACTTCCTAGAGGCTTAGCCTCTTAGATCGGAGGTTTCGGGTTTTAATCCGGACATAGGTGAATTTTACTAACTTGGGAGATACTAACTTCTAACCACTAATCAGTCGTTCAAAAAAAAATATATTTAAATTTCAAATTAAGAATAAAAGTATTTTCAGAAATTGGGAAACAAGGAATAAAGTATTCAAACCTTGTGCATTTAAGTTTTATCATATAATTATGAAAGTTGAAAAAAAAATTAAATGAGGCAAAGAACTTACATGCATTAGACAAATTAAAAAATAGACGTTGGTTTCAAGGTTGTTAAAAAGTATTCCCATGGACTAAAACTTAAAAAGGTTGTTTTTCTCATATTAAGTTGTGAACCTATGCAATTAGGGTGATATTACCCATGTGTGATATTACCCCTGTTTTGTGGGGTTTGGGGAGGAGGGCGTAATGTGTAAATTTTCTATTAGGTAGTGATCAATTTTGTAAATGTTTTTAGACACATGGAGTGTTTCTGTAAAACAATGCACATGAATCTTTTCTATAAATTTATAGAGATAGTTTTTGTAAATTATTTTCTACATAAGGACCAAATCTATCAACATACGAAAATCTTCAACAAATAAATCGTTTCTGTAAAATAAATATGCACATGGATCTTTTTTATAAATTATAGGAAAAATGTTTGTAATTTATTTTCTGCATATGGATTACGAAACAAACGAAAGTGTTGTGGCCAAAGTGAACATTCCACACAAAGGACCAAAGATGCCAATATCATAAACTCATGTGGCAGAAATCAAAATGACATAAACTATATTGTTCATTTCTCGGTTCAAATTATATATATATATATATATATATATATATATATATATATATATATATATATATATATAATTTGTGGGGACCAAAGTTGACGAGAGTCTAGAGACCAAACCTATAAAGATGGCAATATGCGAAAGTTGAAAGAGTGGAAATTGTGTTTGTTCAAATTTGAAGGGGTAAAACTACTCAAATAACCCTTACAAATAGTCTTACATAAACTTCTTACACGAGTTAATTACAATACCTTTAGAAAAAGTTGCATTAACATCATCACATTGTCATACAAAAATGGAATTTTGGAGCATCTTCAAACTACTTGATAAATAAACACCATACTAGATAGCGAATACTCTACTTCTAATTTGTGGATCCACAACTACTTCATACTCATTCATTATACGTCTCACTTTGTCTAACAATCCTAAACTCCATTGTTGTTTACATGATAATGAGTTAACACCAACTTATACTTTTTTTTGAAAGAGCGACACCAACTTATACTTGACTTGACGCGATTACACTAATCTTCAAATTAATTTGTTTGTGGGTTTTTGGCTCATTTTAGATTGTGAAACGCAACACATATAATAAACAAACCCCAATCTAAATGAACAAACCTAAAATAGAAATCCATACATATCTATTAATCTATATTTTGTAACCCCCAAAGCTCTTGGGGCGGGAGAGATGGTGGTTGGAGCGGAGATGAGACAATAAATTAGACGGTGATTGTACTGATCGGTGTTATTGTTGTTAATTGATGAAGCTTTAGAGATATATTTGTTTAAAAGGTAAATACAACTTTTAAATTGGCATTTTCCAACTTTGAATACTCATTTTCTTACATATATAGTTGAATAAAGCGATAACCGGGTGTTTTTTTTTTTTTTTTTTGAAAATATCAAAAAAAAAAAAAAAAAAAGAAATTGCATTAGCAAGTCTTAGAGGCTTAAAGCCACAAATGCAACATTAAGGTGGTGTTTGTTTTTTGTCTGCAGATCTGCGTGACCTCTTCTGTCTGCGCCGCGCAGACCACGCGCAGACATTAGCCTTCGCAGACTGTTTGTTTTTTTGAAGACTGCAGACCTAAAAATGTCTGCGCGCCCTCTTCTTGGCGCAGATGTGGACCAGAGTCTTCTAACATCTTCAGACATCTTCTAGCCTAAAAAAACACATATATCTATATTTTTTTAAGCTTTTTTTTTTAATTTATATTTTTTCCAACTTTATTAATGATAAAAAAATTGAAAAAAAAATTACAAAACTTAAAAAAAAAAAAACGTTCGACGATACAAACATGATATTTTTGACAAATTTATAAATAAAGATTTATTACAATAATAGTCGTTGAAGTTGTTTATATAAATACGAAAAAAAAATCATAATATATTCTTATATTTTTTTGCTAAATTTTGTAGAACATTATTTAATACACTATCGTCAATTTCTCGAGAAAATATTTATGCTACGTTTTTAATGAATTTAATTGAAAAAATCGAAGTTTATTTCCATCCATTTATGTATCAAATTCTTTTATCCTTAATTATAATGTTTAGTTATAATTTTGCAACCAAAGTTGTTAGTTTTTATCAAATATATACGTTAATTCATACCATTTTTATTTTTATTTTTTATACAATAATATATAAAAGTTGATATAGATTTTTTAATTATTTATAATAAAATCATAAAAATATTAAAAAAACACTTTGAAGTTTAAAAAAATCAGTTTATTTAGATTTCAGTTTATTTTAGTAGCCCGCAGATGTTAAAAAAACAAACAGTCTTTTTTTTTTCAGACTGCAGACGTTTGGTCCACATTTTCTACTGCAGAGATCTACAGATGTTGTCCGCAGACTGCATACATTTTGCCTCAGAAATTACATTAGAACGGGCTCTTACAAGTCTCGATCCCTTTTAGTATATAAATTATATAAATTTCGACTTTAAGCCTCTCAACTAAAAAAATAAATAAATAAATAAATAACAATAATAATAATAAAAATTAAGGACATTGTAAAACATAATGACAGAGTTTTCACGTTATCCCAAAGTAATTTGGCCTATGCGCACACATCATACGCATTATGTTTCCTTAATATATGAACTGCTACAATAATATTGTTTTATTTCTTGTGAAAATTGTGACAACTTTTATTGAAGTATTCCAGTTAACAACATCAGAAAACTCCAAGATGATTCGCCATTCGCCACATAAATTTTTGTATTCTCCGACGATTGGATTTGACTTCGATCATCTCCAAGTTGTCATTACTCACTTGACTTTCACTTTCTTGTCTCTTCCTCAATCTCTTCTCAGGGGAAACAAAAGTCAAGTTTATATCTACAGGAGAAAACGCTTTACTCACAACACCCACCATTTTTCTTTCTGCTAACAAAGCACTGAAGATCACAATTTCTGTAAAGATTGAATAGATAGAAATGCGTCAATTACTTGAAGGTATTTATCATGATACTGTTACTCTTTTCGGTTCATTTGCAGTTGTTTCATTGGGTTTTACAGTAATTTGTCTCTGGGACATTTATACAAACACATGGTCTGCATAGATACAGGAAAATTGTTTCTGATTCACTTTGCATTGTTGATGTCGCTTGTCAACGCAGCAATATCTCCAACATCATTATCCATTAATGAAGACAGTTCATCTACGAATCACCATCGATCAGCCTTGTTCTTTTTACTTGGAGGATTAATCTTTCTCCTAAGTTTGCTGATTCTTCTGTTTATTTTCTGGAAATATATCCAACAAGAACAACTTAGAAAGTCAGGGGAGCCTGAAAACAGCTGCAAAGGTTATAATTATCTTCCAAATCTTATTTTCTTTCATGTATTATTACTTTGTATACATCGTGTTGTCAACTACATGTATGCTGATAAAAGACTGTATTTTGTGGCTTCAAAAGATTATTACAGAGGGAATATAAAGACAATAAGCTATTTTAAATTCCAAGCATTAAAGAAGGCGACCAAGAACTTCCATGAGTGTAATTTTCTTGGAAAAGGTGGATTTGGGCCAGTCTATTTGGTATGTGTTTCTTGAATTCTTTATTACAAATTTGGATTTATTGACAAATATAGATACGATTGTATATGGTTTTTCTAGGGTAAACTACAAGATGGGAGACAAGTTGCTATAAAGAAACTATCTCTTGAAAAATCACAACAAGGAGATGAAGAGTTTCTTGCAGAAGTGAAAATGATCACTAGCATACAACACAAAAACCTTGTTCGCCTTCTTGGTTGTTGCTCTGAAGGATCTCAAAGGCTGCTTGTTTATGAATACATGAAGAACAAGAGTCTTGACCTCATTATTTATGGTATATGACATAATCACCTGTTCTTTCTTATATTTACTTAATTGGAACATGACGTAATCTAACATGTATATTTTGGAATTTGTGAAAAGGAAAAAGCGAAGAGTACCTCAACTGGAGCACACGATTGGAAATAATTTTGGGAATTGCTCGGGGATTACAATATCTACATGAGGATTCACACATGCGGATTGTGCATAGAGATATCAAAGCTAGCAACATTCTTCTTGATGCTAAATTTCATCCAAGAATTGGAGATTTTGGTCTTGCTAAGTTCTTCCCAGAGGAACAATCGTATCTTAGCACCACATTTGCTGGAACATTGTAAGGCCTTAATGGGAAAATTTAAAATAATAATAACATATATAGAGTTAATCGGATGTTGTGTCCCCATTAAGTAAAAAAAAAAAACAATGGATAAGTTACTTGTGGTAGAAGATATCAAGCTATGTTGTTAACTTGTACCAAAAGATTTTTTTTATTGAGTTGTTTTTATGTTTGTTTGTGATTTTGTAGAGGATATACAGCTCCTGAATATGCCATTAAAGGAGAATTATCTGAAAAGGCTGACATTTATAGTTTTGGAGTGCTTTTACTTGAAATCATTAGCTGCAGGAAACATACCGATCTTACTTTACCATCAGAAATGCAATACCTTCCTGAATATGTAGGCCATTTACATTTCATTTACACTTCCACATGACATCACATCACATTACATAGTCATGACATGACATCACATTAGACTGAACATGACACATGACATGATATCATATTATATCACATACTTATGTCATGATTGAACTCAACATGACACGTAACAGTATGAAACACATGACATGACATCACATTACATAGTTATGATATGATTCGACTAAACATGACATATCACATCACATAGTCATGACATGATTGAACTAAACATGACACATAACACATGATAGTATGACATGTCATTACATAGTCATGACATGATTAGACTGAACATGACATATGACATATGACATATGACATATGACATATGATACATGATACATGATACATGTCACATGACATGACTTGACTTGACTGAACAAGCTTCTTAAGGTTTTTTTTTTTTTGCTAAATATTGTTTTGTTTTGTTGTGTGTTGTCTAATAGGCATGGAAGTTGTATGCGAGGTCAAAGATAGTTGACCTCATAGACCCAAGAATGAGGAACGGTGGTTTTGTGGAGAAATATGTAATGCAAACAATTCATGTGGCTTTATTATGCCTTCAGCCCCAAGCAAATGTAAGGCCATCCATGTCGGAGATTGTGGCTATTTTGACTTGGAAGGGCAAAATGGTCAAAGCACCAATAAAACCGGATTTCTTTGACGGGGGATGTCGAGTGAAGGATGAGAATGTATCTTGGGAAGCCATCTTAGATTATTACCCTTCTCCTCTCGAAAGCAAATCTTACAACCTCATACAACCTCCAAACTCTGGAGAGTTCACCGAAAGTAGATCATACAGCCTCATTCAACCTCCAAACTCTAGAGAATTTATAGTGAACTAAGCTCACACAATGTTTGGCTTATTTTAAATCAATTTTTTTTGTAAAAAAAAGGTTACTCGGAAAGCTCTTAAAAAAGATCCATTCGGATTTGGGATGGTCTTGACTTTTAAAGCATCTCCACCACCTAACAAAGCGACATGGAATCGGAATCGGCCTGAAAAACTAGCTACCAGTAAATAGAAAATGATGATTGGAGTAAAAAACTGGCTGAAAAACTAGTTAGGAAATGTAAAATGACATAAAAAAAAGACATATATAAGAATGATTCGATTTTATAAAACGAGTATGTAATACATTTTATTAAATTAAAGTACTAAATCAATCGTTCTTGATTATTTATATTTAAGGGAAAAAATTAAATCAGATTTGTAATATTATTATAAAAAATGGTTGTATATAGTAATCAATTGTTTATGTGCTTAGCGAATTTGTATAATTTTTGGAATATAATCAATAAAACAAACAAAATTATATTTTTATAGGTTAACTTCAAATATTTCATTTTATATATCATCAACAATAATGATAGTTGAGTAAATGAACGTTAACGTCTACACTTCTTAGATGTTTCCCTTTTCTTAAAAAAAAATTATTACAAGGAAAAGATTGATGAATATTAAAAAAATATAGTAAAATGATGAATAATTACTTTTATTTTTTAATGAGGATATATTTGAAAAAATTATAAAAAAAATTTCATTAGCTCTTTGGAATGTTAGCCTATTAATTATTTAAAAAGTTAGTTTATAAACTACTTTTGTCTTGCAAAACACAAAGAAAAAAAAAAAGACTAGCATATAAACTAGTTACGGATTGCCAAACATAGTCTTAGTGTATTTCACATACATCAACTCATCAAGCGATATTTTTTAGAAAGCGACCATATATATATATATATATATATATATATATATATATATATATATATATATATAAAACTAGCAATGAGCTAGAAAATTATAAAAAGTTTAAAGGATTAGTTAGCCAACTAATCCAAGATAAAGAACATTTATGATTCCTGTTAGAAAACCATAAAAAAAAATTCTTTAATGGAGTCAATGATATCATTTTTCCGCATCTTCTTAGCTTGAAACACCATATTATTCTTGTATTTCCCAATGTACCAAATAGTAGTACAAAAATTGCATCCATATCATCTTTCTTTTTGGGATTGATAATAAGGTTATCCATTAAGGAAAACAGACCATGAACATATTCAAACTCCAATCGATCCAATTCCAACCAATGAAATATTTCATTTCAAGTTCTAGCTGTCACTTCACACTTAACAAAAAGATGTCCATGTTGCTCGACATGTAAATCACAAATTGGGCATAAAATCGAAGGGACATCAATCCTCTTATCCGCCAAATTAAAACGAGTAGGGAATCTATTCAATAAAACTCTCCACCGAAGAATATTTACCTTCCCAGGCACAAAACGATTCCACCTGATTTCTGGTTGCACAGAAGGAAGAATTATCTCATCAATCCATCTTCTAGTATCCCTAACCGTAAAAATCCCTTCGTTCTCAATCTCCCACAACCAAAAATTAGGTTTATCATTAAAAACAACTTCATGAAGACACTTCATCAAATTTGAAAATTGTTAAAACTCAACACCTCTTTGAATTTCATGACGCCAATCCCAATTATAGTTGCGATTACATCTTCTATCAGCAATAGATTAATCTTTATTAAGATCTAACTCAAACTACCTTGGAAATCTAGTAGCCATTATCTCACCATACCATCTATTTCCAAAATATAGTCAAAACATCATTCCCAACTTTCTTATACAACACATAATCTAAATCAATACCATGAGAACGAAGTTTAGAATAGGAAGCAAGAATATGAGCCCAAAGTATGACCCTCGAATAACCAACTCGATCAAGACCACCATTCTCAACATATAACTTCTTGACAACTTTAACGCAAAGCAAATTACTATTATGTAAAAATCTCTTATGCCATTTATGAAGAAGCGCAAAATTAAAAGCCACTAAACGTCCAATCTCAAGACCACCATTCTTTTTACCCGCAAGCACCATCTCCCATGAACCCACAACATTTTACGCTTTTTATCTGCTCCTCCCAAGAAAAAAATTTGCACGCATAGATTCCAACTTCTTAGCAACAACTGGCATAAGGAACAATGACATGAAATATACCTAACGATCCCAATACCGACTTTATCAACATCGATCTTCCACCAATAGATAGAGTAGCAGCCTTCCAGTTTGATAACATATAACCACCTTCCAAGCCACCACCCTAGACATATTTTGGCCTACGAGAAGTCCTAAATAAATGAAAAGTATAAGGAATTGAAATCAAACTCCTCTTGTCGAGTTATGTATATTCACGTAAATATATATGAGTACAAAATACAACAGACTTTCCTATGATAATGGATTACATGAATTTAAAACTAATCTACTCAATATCTAGTGGCTAGATTTTTCGTTTATACCCCCTTCAAGCGAGACGGTGGTAGACTAACGCATAGCTTGGCCCTGAAGTACTCAAATACAGATCTTGGGAGACTCTTTGTGAAAATGTCAGCTACTTGTTGAGTAGTGGGAATAAACTTAGTATGCAACTTTCCAGATTGCACCAATTCACGAAGACAGTGGTAGTCAAGATCTATATGTTTTGCTCTTTTGTGTGAAATAGGATTTTGACTTAGGAAGAGAGCACTTTTGTTGTCACAATAGAGACATGGCGTAGGAGAAATGGGAACCTGTAACTCGCTAAGCAAATGAGTAATCCATATAAGTTCAGAAGCAGTGTTCGTCATTGCTCTATATTCAGACTCACAGCTGGATCTAGCGACTGTTGGTTGCTTTTTAGCACTCCACGAGACAATGTTTCCTCCTAGAAAAATAGAGTAACCATACGTAGAACGCCGTGTCTCAAGACATCTAGCCAGTCTGCATCAGAGTAGGCAACAAGAGGAATATGGGAAGATCGTGTATAAGTAAGACCATAGGACAATGCACCCTTAACATACAGTGGGATCCGTTTAACTGCCTGAAAGTGATCTGTAGTAGGAGATTGTAAAAATTGACTCACATGATTCACAGCATAAGAGAGATCTGGGCGAGTTATAGTTAAGTACTGGAGTGCTCCAACAAGTGACTTGTATTGTTGACACGAAGATCATCAAGTTCATTATTCATGGCATGAACCCACTTAGGATGTTTAGATGTTGTCTTAAAACCTTTGGGATCATGATGAACAAGAAGAGTCATGTGTAACCTGCTAGAAGAAAGGGTAGCAAGATCAGCAAATAAGCGCTTTTTAACAATACCATTTTTACCTCGAGTGATCATTTGATGACTTTGTTGGGTTTTTGAGCATTCTAACACTCCTAAGTGTACATGCAACCCTAAATACCTTGGAACTATGTTTTCTCTATTATACATGCAAATATGAATATTCCAAGGTATTACCCTATCTAGCATACAATCCTTGATACTTGGGTAATATAACAAGTTAGAATACATACCTTTTAATGAAGCTTGAAGTCTTGAACTTTAAGAGCTTAGCCCCAATAGTGTGGAAGCCTCAAGTGGAATCACAAATCACCAAAACACCTTGGAAAACCTTTAGAGAATATGGATACTTGGCTCACACTTATGAAATCGGTTATTGCCCTCTTTAGTGTATCCACACTAGCCACTAGCCTAATTTCATGAACCATAAGACCCTTTATATAGTGTGGAGGATTAGGGTTAAACCCTAATACCCATGACCTTTCATTTCCTAGGATCCATGGGTTAAAGCTCCATGGACTATCCATGAAGACTTAGCCCAACCTAAATGAACTTGGCCCACTACACACATATATCTAAGAGTCCATATTTAATTAGTTCCTTTTGATCACTTAATTAATTATAAATTAATTCTTGATCAATACTAATTAAATAATATGATTATATATATTAATATATTAGAACTTATAATATATTATATAAATCATAAATATACTATTCTCAAAAGACTATCCATATAAATTGTGTCGGTGAAGTGCAACCCAAATGGACCATGCCGGGTCGGGTCAAGTACATACCAAATATAGTTATGGACTTAGACATTAATCCAACAGTCTCCCACTTGGATAAGTCTAAAACTATTATTGAGTATGACTTCAAAAACCAACTGGCAATCGTAGCTCTTAAAGCCGTTGTCAAACTCTGATCCTGTCAACGAACTCTGACCTTTGTCAATGACTTGTCCATTAGATAAGGGATCATATATTCCTCCATTCTAGATATCATATGGACTGAGACATGGATTATAATCATTCTCTCTGTCCATTTGTTGTTTCCCGATTTCCGATTTATGATGACTGACTGATTGAACAAATCAAATCAGTCCTGGCTTGGCCAAGCACTCACATGTGTCATCATTAAATCATCGAGGGGCCCACATATATCGCTTTTATCCCGGAGGTAAAAGGAATGGATAAACTTCGACTCATATGGCTTGTTCTACTACTTGTTGAATCATACACAAAGGCACGTTTTATAACATCGATTTACCAATGCGGTTTCGTGCAATCAATGTACAACCAACTCATAGTAACAACTCATATCTCTAGGTTTGAAGAATATAAGATATTATCGTCTCATGATCACTCGTGATAAAATCCATGAAGTGATTCAAATGAGCGCGGGTTGAATCCAATACTCAGAACTTATGAGCACTCATGAGTGTTGTAGCATAACTTTGTTCACCAACTTGGACCTCTACAAGCCAACCCATGACAGTCTTGATTCATATCTACTTCCAACATATGACCGACTGTGGATGGTTTGAATAACTTAGTCATTCCGGAAGAATAACCTAGTTATTATGGAAGTCAAAACATGCAAAGTGAAACACAAGAATAAATGAATCAAATATGGTATCAAGCCCTATGAATATAAATAGACCACTTTTATTTATCACCATACTGATTACTCATTATTCATTGTTTTGGTTTTATCAACT